ACCCATGAAAAGCTTAAATCCATTTCTTTTCATACCTCTAACAGTGAGGTTCAATCAGCTCCACACAAAACAATCACTGCACTCAAATGGTTCATCTCATTACTTTGGCCATGACCTAAACCCAAGATGCACATTTAAAAAAACAACAACTTGTCCACAGAGAAGTTAGGAGGGGGACTAAATCGTGCTCACAGTAAAACAGACTTACTGGTTTAAAGATGGCTTTGTGGGTAGTTCACTGCATAGTATTTGCTCTTTCCAGCTCCAATGTCCTGTAAACATTTCACAACACTCTGTAAATGAATTCTGAAAGTGTAATTTCAGGTGACAAAATCTTGAAATGTTTCCCACCATATCGATCACATGTGACCATTGCGCCCAGTTGTTTTGACTTGAACTAGAAGCCCAAACAGCTAACATTCGTGTCTCATGCGCCGGATCTGCAACCAGAAATAAGGACTGTACAACGTATTATAGAAAAGCTCATTGGTGAAAATCTACATATACAAATATATATTTATATATTTGATTAAATGAAACAGCAGCTCCATATTCCTATTTCCATTATACAAATGTTCCAATACCATCATGCTTTCCTTTCGTCCGAATAGCTGCACACAAATATCATCCATCCATCCATTTTCATCCTCTTATCCGTTAACGGGGCACGGGGGCAGCAGTCGCCACCTGAATCACACTGCACTGTACCAACCCACATCAGGGGCATCTACGTCTTGTTTGCAAAGGTAAAGGCGGTAGATTGTTCCACCTCCACAAATGTTAGTCCTGCATCAGTAATCCTCTAGACTCCCTGCTCTTTTGTAAACCAATAACCCTTTAAAGTAGATTTACAACCCTACACAGCTCCCTGTGTGTCCATCCATAAATCAGCTTGAAAGGCTAGAAGAGGAACACAACATTCCTCACTCCGACTTAACCCCTGTCAGCTGCAGTGACTCTGTACATTTGTGCAGACACCTGGATCTGGGTATGTGCTGCAGGGCCACAGGCAGCTTGTAAAACTCTAAACCGAACTCTGGCGTCATGGAACTTTTTTTTCTCTCATTTTGTAGAAGGAGGAGGAGAAAGAGGAATGGGAGGAAAGAGGACAAGTGGACATGTAAGCATACATATGTTTTAAGGAAGTGGGAAGAGACAGACTTTTCCTGGAGAGATTAAAGGAGAGAGAAAATAGAAGAGTAAAAGTCTGTAACCTTTAACACTAGAAGTGCCACTGGTATTGTTTATATTTATACAGTAGTGCAGCATATGCTATTTAAAGATATTTCAGTAAAAAAAAAAGACATTTTAGGAGATTTTAATAACATTATTTTGATTTGTTGTTATCAAAGTGAACAATTCTGTTTTCTTATAACGCTAGTTGATGAGATGCATTAATCAAATATGATCTTGAATTGAGCAGTACCAAAAGTATGGCCCAGGAACCAGAGGTTGCAGACAACTCCAGAGTAGAGTCAATGTTGTCAGATAGAAAGACTCACATGAGTGCCACTTAGTAACACAGTGTACCAGAAATGACCCCAAATAAGGGCAGTACCATAGAGTGAGCCTGCAGTTGTGGAATTACAGGACTGGTCTTTTCATTAGAATCACAGGACTGAGCAGAAGTCTCTTTAAACAGATGTTTAGCAGAAGTCTCACACTTATACGCAGTCGGTGTTGACTTGAACATAAAGCTGTTCTGCAACAACAGCTGTGGTGTGAGTGGGCTTCGGCCCACTGAGCAATTTTAGAGAACTGGAAAAATTGCCCAATGTCATCCAATTGGTCTGATTTGTCTTTATTTATAAAGCTCTATTGGCTTTGTTGACAGACAGGTTTCTAGTATTTTAATTATCTTTAAGCAAAACAAGCTTAACAAGCAAAACAAGTTATTTCTCTGTTCTCTGTCCATATCACTATAATGATTCATTTTCCATCTGTGTCCATATATATATGTATATATACAAAAACAAATAAAAAATCCACTTAAATACAGTTACATTAAATATTCAGTAATATTTTACACCTTTTACTTTAATCTTACCATCATTCAGTCATAATGACTTTATTCTTTACATGACACAAATATGGATTTTATTCAATTAATTTTGTCTCTTAACACGTCAGGGAATGTAAATAGTTATAAATATTTTAAATAATCAAGTTGACAGTTAAGTTACAGTAATGAGTAAAGTATCACAGTAGGAGTGAATAATTCAGCTTAAAATTCAAGAGGAATGCTGAAAAAGGAGGAATGTATAAAATCTAAATGAACTGATTTGGTGTCTTTTTTAGTACAATATTTATTAGTGATGGAGAAAAAAAAGTATTGTTCTTAAGAACATTGGATCATCCTCAACCAAAAAATATATAAAAAGTTTTTACATGGGGGAAATGTTTGTATTGTATGATATTAAAATGATTCATTATTCAAAGATAAAAAAATTACATGAATTTATCTCCCTAATAAATCTATGCTAAAAAAGAACAAAACTATCTGATCTTACTAATCTGTGAGATGCTACGATCTGGGATCAGTTCTAAACACTAGTTCAAAAGGAGTTGTTGTTGTAGTGCTCAATCCGGGCCACAATGGTGGACACCAGCTTCTCCAGCTGCTTGGCCCTCAACCTTCCCGTCTCCAGCACTTCCTCGTGGTTGGCTTTCTCCTGACTGTCGTAGTCCATCACGGCCTTGTTGCTGATCAGGGACATGGCGAAGCAGCGCATCCCAGCGTGGTGGGCTACGATGACCTCATGAGCAGTGCTCATTCCTGCAGAGGACACAGATAAGATGGTGAGTTGACACCGGAAGTTTGGGCTCAATGATGTAATGCATTACTAATATGTTGTCTTGAAATGGTCATTTAATAATTAAATAATGAATTGATTGTAACCAGATCACAAATAGCTAATAATAAAATAGCTAAAACGTTGACAGAAATAACTTTTTTTAAATTGCAAACAACACAACAAAAGTTCCTAAAACCAGTGTAAATGATAAACACTAGCTAACCAACAAATACTATAAACATAGACAAAACATAACAAATTGCTCTGTTTAAAAAAAAAAGCTGTTCTGCAACAACAGCTGTGGTGTGAGTGGGCTTCGGCCCACTGAGCAATTTTAGAGAACTGGAAAAATTGCCCAATGTCATCCAATTGGTCTGATTTGTCTTTATTTATAAAGCTCTATTGGCTTTGTTGACAGACAGGTTTCTAGTATTTTAATTATCTTTAAGCAAAACAAAAAACAGTTTTTAAAGCAAAATGTGATAAAATGATTATGTTTGTGTTCCACAGGAAAGGAATTTCGGCATTGACTGTGCAGCTTGACGTCTGTTCCATCCCAGGAGAAACAAAGACAACACTGTTCTTAGGTTGAACATTTTATTGCAAAGATAGGTCCATGGTTTTTAGTACAACTACCTCTTAAAGCAAGCAGCTTGAACCCCTGTCCGTTAGTAGTTATTTCTCTGTTCTCTGTCCATATCACTATAATGATTCATTTTCCATCTGTGTCCTTATATATATGTATATATACAAAAACAAATAAAAAATCCACTTAAATACAGTTACATTAAATATTCAGTAATATTTTACACCTTTTACTTTAATCTTACCATCATTCAGTCATAATGACTTTATTCTTTACATGACACAAATATGGATTTTATTCAATTAATTTTGTCTCTTAACACGTCAGGGAATGTAAATAGTTATAAATATTTTAAATAATCAAGTTGACAGTTAAGTTACAGTAATGAGTAAAGTATCACAGTAGGAGTGAATAATTCAGCTTAAAATTCAAGAGGAATGCTGAAAAAGGAGGAATGTATAAAATCTAAATGAACTGATTTGGTGTCTTTTTTAGTACAATATTTATTAGTGATGGAAAAAAAAGTATTGTTCTTAAGAACATTGGATCATCCTTAACCAAAAAATATATAAAAAGTTTTTACATGGGGGAAATGTTTGTATTGTATGATATTAAAATGATTCATTATTCAAAGATAAAAAAATTACATGAATTTATCTCCCTAATAAATCTATGCTAAAAAAGAACAAAACTATCTGATCTTACTAATCTGTGAGATGCTACGATCTGGGATCAGTTCTAAACACTAGTTCAAAAGGAGTTGTTGTTGTAGTGCTCAATCCGGGCCACAATGGTGGACACCAGCTTCTCCAGCTGCTTGGCCCTCAACCTTCCCGTCTCCAGCACTTCCTCGTGGTTGGCTTTCTCCTGACTGTCGTAGTCCATCACGGCCTTGTTGCTGATCAGGGACATGGCGAAGCAGCGCATCCCAGCGTGGTGGGCAACGATGACCTCATGAGCAGTGCTCATTCCTGCAGAGGACACAGATAAAATGGTGAGTTGACACCGGAAGTTTGGGCTCAATGATGTAATGCATTACTAATATGTTGTCTTGAAATGGTCATTTAATAATTAAACATTATATATTATTATTAATGAATTGATTGTAACCAGATCACAAATAGCTAATAATAAAATAGCTAAAACGTTGACAGAAATAACTTTTTTTAAATTGCAAACAACACAACAAAAGTTCCTAAAACCAGTGTAAATGATAAACACTAGCTAACCAACAAATACTATAAACATAGACAAAACATAACAAATTGCTCTGTTTAAAAAAAAAAA